AGTTTCATCTGTCAATTTTACTTCAAAATAAAGTATTCATGCATTAATTTCATTATCCCAAATTTCAATTTTTTGAGTTGACCCGTTCAAAAAATAAAATGAGGGGGGGCATTGAAAAATGCACTGTATACTACAGTTTATTATGTCAAACAACTCAGACATAAGCAATGAACCAACCTTCGTGAACACGATTCAGGTACTAGATTTATAAGTACACATGTTCAGAAATAGAATGTGTCTGATGAGAAGAGTTATTTATATTATCAGCACATCAATCATCATTCTATCTGAGAATACCAATATTATCACAGATCTACGGTTGGAGCAGGATAGGGAACGGCTCAGAATGAATAGAGAGCTGCTTACTAGATACTATACATTTAGAAGATACCTGAAGAGAAGAAGACTGTATAACAGAGGTCTCAGCTACAATTCAACAAGTGGACAAATACAGCTTGTCATTGTCTAGGTGAATGTGTTGCATTAAATCACTGAGGGCAACCCAAATTGACTCTATAAGTATATGACAAGCTCAAGAGTTGGCCCAGAAGCGCCCGGTGTCATTGCGTCGTATATTGGAAAATCATGAGTTTGACTTTGCCATTGGCATAAATGCATTGAATCGAGGAATTATCATTTTCCCAGAGGGTAAGCTGTTACCGTAGCGCTGACATAGTGGGGGACGCGCCAGCATTATCAACCAATGTCCACTCCCCACGCCGTGGAGTAAGTGATTTTGAGTCCGAGAATCGTGTGCCCAAAGCAGAAACAATCTGCCAAAAATTACAGATTCCTGCATTTGTCCGGCTAAGATGTTTGCCTTCGATCGGCAAGCCAGCATGGTCTTGAGATTCGAGAGTAGAGAGGACATCATTTCACCTGGTCTGGATAGAGTTTGTGGAGTTTGAAGAAGAAATCTCCATGTTTCATCCGGTTTTCCTTCTCTTTTTGGACGATATTCGTCTCACCGGGAGCTGAAAACTTATCATGATTAATATTGAATGTTTGGTTTATATGATCACCAGTTGTTTTATCAGAATTGACGGCAAACAATGTTTTTTTGCGATATTTTCGATTATCCTACACAAATGATGCTTCTTCGACTGATAAGTGTATCAAATTTTGTTAAAGGTATATTTACAAAAATTGCATAACTTACCTGTTTAGGGAGGAAAATTGTTCAGAACAAAACTACATTTGTGCATTTTGAATCTATGAACTAATTGTCCAACTATGGAAAATGAAATACTTTGTTATACAGGGTGTCCCAGAATTATAATGTACTCAAGATATCTGAAATCATGTTGTACCGATTGTCTCCAAAGCATCTTAGTCTAGATTTCCCAGAAATGATCATTTGATAGAAATGGTCGTTATGGACTGGAAATTTATATTTTGTGAAAGTATTTAATGATGACTTTTTAGGATCATATTTCATGAAAAATCTCATAAGTACCAATGAAAATAAAATGCTATTTCATTATTAAAGTTTGAGATATGGAACTGAAATTATTAAAAATGTTTTGCATTATATTTTTGTAGTATTTTCCAATGTATGGACTATCCAGGAAAGTGAGGTTTATTTTAAATTCTTCTTCAGATTTTAAATTCTTCTTCAGGTGATCAACACTTTCGGAAATATGATGACACTTTGCTCAGGAGACTTCTTCTTGACAGCGTAAATGAAAATTATTCAAAAGAGTTTACATCGTTAACAAGATTTATTTAGGATCGAGAGTACCAAAACATCGAGCTCAGCTAGCTAGTTCCTCATAAAATCACAATGTGTAATCTGTGAAATGACATAACTCCCCACAAAAATGAGGAAAATAATTTATTCAAACATGGAATCCCTTATATCCCAATTGAGTTACCTAATAACAATGAAAACTCAATCACCACAATAACTTTGTCAATTAAATTCCGGTTGAACTCACTGGAACGGCTAGGTATAGATGATGGTTCAGTTAGTGTATTTGATATAAATCAAAAACAGGAAAAATTCATGGACGAACCTCTCCGAAAGTATTCAAAATATCAGCACGGTGAAGCCAAGTGCAAGGCTGGGCAACACTTGGTTGCAGGAAACAATCCTGACAGCCAGTTTGTGGTTTCGCATCCCAGAGGAGAGCTCGCTTTAGATCAAACACTTTCGTTGTGGTGTTCTATCCTAAAAGTATTTTTTGTTCAGATGTAAAGGTCAAATTCCATTAGCCATTGTAGTTGATTGAGTACAAGATCATGGTTATGTTCAGCGCGAGGCAATCAATAAAAAAACAATCAACGCCATCCCGTTCTATCTGTTAAGTTTGATTAGATCCTGTTCAAACTGGAAGAACAAGATATTTACAATAGTTGGAGGAAACTACATGTAAAATTGAATTGTACACATCAATAATAAGATATCCCTGTGAAAGAAAAAGCCTGAAGGAAAATGTCCCTTACAATGTTTGAGCACATAAAGTCATGATGTTATGAAAGAAATGATTGCTTGACTTTTTAATGTTATCCAAAACGGTGCTGATGAGGTGGTAGGTGTGTAGTACCGAAACTTCGAAGGGCACTATTGAGGATGATAGTGTTCCATAGGTCACATTTTATGTTAACCATCTTCCATTTATCACATTGTGTGGAGTTCCTATGAATGATATCTGTATCAGTTTCATAACGATTTTTTGTACTATGAACTGAATGGGAAAAAGTGATTTATATGTAATTCAATGTTCGTATGAAAGTACAGTAGAATCTCACTGATACGGCACTATTGAAAACCAGAGGGTGTCAGATCATTGGAATGTTCGGATTACTGAAGTATAGAAAAAAAACATATTAGATCTTGTGTTTCGGTTTGCTTGACATTTTCAACTACACCTTATTCTCACTTCAAAACAACTGGTAAAGACGTACCCACGTGAACGTGATAAGTTTTGAGGTTAGACTGCTAGACGTCACGTGGCGACGGAACGCCTAGGCGTAGACGAGTGAGGAAGGCGCTGGTGGATTATTGGACGTATCGGTCTATTGAATTGCCTGATTAGTGAGACTCTACTGTAGTTGTTTCAAAAGGATTTATCCTTTCCTGTAATTCAATGTTCATGTGAAAGTACTTGTTTCGACCTGAGTTGAAGTGTTTGACTTTAGCTTTCGTTAAGTAAGGTGAAAGGGATTTACAAAAAAGTTAAAATTGAGTTTGAAAAAAATATGCATTTACATAATATACTTATAATACGATCAAAATCTTCTCTTAGATTTCAAATTCATCAACAATTTTCGGACGATGGAAATATTGACAATTAAACAAACATTAAATATAAAATGATGAATTATTCTTCCTATACCATGAAAGACAAATAATTATGAACATACTATTTGTCATGATACGAATAATAATTTTGGTTCTAATTGAAGTTAAAACGAATTCAAATAACTATTTATTGTGAGACTTTCACTCCACATTTCAATAATAATAATAATGATAATATGTCATATTAATAATTCACATAACGGTTTTTGACATATTCCTGAAGAGGAAGGCAGTAAACTGCTTTAAACGGATTCACTTAACATGATATGATAACTCACATTTACGTTTTGTAATCCAATTCTCAGACACCGTGTATAATTTGAGAGCTGTCGCCACTGATATTCTATCACTACCAACACCGGACATGTTTCCAGTATTCGAAAAAACGTTGTCTAAAAAACGCAACTTCTATCTTTTCTAAATCCGACTGATCATAAAACAAAAGATTGATAACCACATTAGCTCTAATAACTAATTTGAATTCGAACTCGTTTTGAGGTCGGAAAAAAAATGGTTTATGTTTCTTCTCATTCATTTCATAGATATATATTGAAGAACAAATGTTTTTATTTCTTGCGTATAAAAAAGTAACACGACGGTATTCATGCATAACCAAAATTATTTTTTATGTTTTTTATTATTGAAAAAATCTACTCAAAAATATGGAAAGCCTCACTGACGAACTTTACAGCAAAACAATCAATGAAGACTGATTTCAACATCTAAATATCACATGCAAGGCGCATTTGCGAACATCAAAGAGGAGATGAATAAAAAGAGGAGAAAAAGAGTAGGAAAATGAGTAAAGTAACAGTATACAGGGCGTTCAAATACCTGCTGGTGCTCGGTGATAGTGTTCGGTGTCGTAGACGTGTTGAGCGAGTCTAACTGAGAGGTATACACAGGTAGGCAGGCATCTAGACCAAACAGACAGACAAACAACATACAGTCAGCGCTGCCTTTCTAAACACGAAAATACTCGTTATTTTCAAATAATGATGCATTTTTTCTAACCTCGTTATGCTAAACATATTTCAAACATGAAAAAAAACAAAATCTCAGAATAACATTCATTAAAAGTTCAATCAATCAGTTTACATGGATTTGTACACAAATATTTCATAGTTTTCGCATCATTATTTTCAAATTACTTGAACTGACTTTACATTTTTGTGTATATTGTATACAAAATTTTTTGGGAAAAATTTTTTACATCTGAATTCAGAAGTGTTTGAGAACCTAACTCTCATTATTTTTCGAAATGTCCATGGCACATATTCAAATTCAATAACAGTGCAATATTTTGTGTTGAATCAACATCAGTTGATTCGCAATATTAACTAGTGACAATGAAATCTTTGCTGAGAAAGATGTGGATCTTCAAAAGATCTAGTGTGCTTATGATGCACATTCCATTGAGAATGACTTTCACCAAAAAAAAAATGTTATTGCTTTTGCTATACCCACAACCTTGTTGCAGAGTGGGCCTATTCATGATTCAAAATTATACCTCATCAATTCAAAACAGCTTCGCGCTCAGTATTCATCATAAACACATGCATTTATTCTATGTGAATGAGTCGCAATTCAAATTGATCTAATAGTTTGTAGACTGCAGGTTGTAATGGGACGCGAGGATTTTCATTAGCCTCATGACCTGACCGGTAGAATATTTTTCAAATAACCCTAAGCTAATTGGGAACTGAAATTCTGTTTACGTTCATTTTCCTTGGATCCAGTGATTTGATGTCACAGTGCCTTAGTGTTACCTCTTCAATGAACTTGAGCGTTTGTTAAGCAGAAGTTCTACTTTGCAACAGTTTAGGAGACACAGCTGCAGTGGCGATAACTCTTTCTCTCAAATTATCTGTCAATCTTATCCGGTTTATATTACTTTGGCTGGACAACCTTCTTACTTCATCCTCAATATTCTCTTTTTCTGAGAATCAGAGAGGATCCTGGTCGAAAAATAATAATAATTTCCTTCCTCTCCACAAATACATAAGATCGGAGTTGAAATACAGATTCTTACACCGTAAAATATTTTCAGAGACATTTTTCAACATTGATGGTAGTTTGAATAGCTTCAATCTTGGTGGTTTAGTAATTTTTTGAAACCTCTCAATAAGATGGCAAAATGCTGTGACCCTCGGTACAGATTTTAATGAGGTTGAAACCAGAATCTTTTTGTACCCACACAGCTCACCTAGTTTCTGTTAGCTGTCTGGAGCTGCTCTGCAACGGGGATTGTTAGAAAATCCTTGCCGGGTGAGGTATCATCCGTGAAGGTAAGAGTTCTCCTTAATGATGCCTCATCTTGAATTGTGTATATTCCTGCGTAAAGAATGTATGACTCTGAGTCCACTCATTGACACTAAGGAAAACTTCGAGATACCAGGCACCGTCTTGTCGTCACGGTAATGCAGGACTCCGCCGTGATTCACTTCCTTTCCCTTGCGTGGATCCCTGAGTCTACAGAGGAGATGGGCGTCGACTAAACGATCCATACTATCCTTCCTATGAAGAGCAAGAGCTCTCACGAATTTGTTTTGCACCAAATTCCTGAGTAGCAGAAGCAGAATTCACATGAGGGAATGAAACAAGCTCCTTTTGAGTAGTTAAGCAAACGCCTACACTCAAACGAAGAATGACTCAAACCTACATGACTGAATCACATGTATCATCAGCTGACTTACAGATGCTCTCATATGGAGAGGTTTCTAGAGTCATTAAGGTAAGTGTCTTGGACCTTGAAGAACATCCGACAACTTCAGTATCGACCAATCAACAAGAATATTTTCAGTATCTCATTATGGTTGGCGTATAGGATATTCTAGAAGATGGCATACAGGTATGATTCTAGAGTTGCGCACTCCTACGTGGGTGGCTATTATAAGTTACCTGAGAGGATCAGAAAAATGTTTTCCGGCTAATAGGTACAGTCATGGAAGATCGTTCCTTTTCACACGTGTTCTACTTTTCAAGAAACACATTTTTGTTGCTTACCTACCTCAGTCAACCTTGGAGTGGATTAATTCTCACATACCAGTGGGTCATTAGTAGGGTGATGAAGGTTTCAGATCTTCATATTTTTCCGAATACTTTATGTCACTTATATTTTTGCTGCAGCATTGTCCGAATCAGATTTTGGACATTGCCACAAATTAAAGAAAACCAGTAATGTTGTGCTAGAATGTGCAACATGGTAATTCACGTAAGTCATTACATTTACTCATTACAGTAACGAAACCCCTGAAGAGGCATGAGCCTAAAGCAGGGCACCACAAAATTGTTGCATAAAAATATGTAACAAACCAAAAGATATAATAAACGTATTTGATTGATTGACAGTAACGATCAGGTCATTGGCATAACCCCAAATCGTGATACCAAACTAGTTTATTTTTGTTTTGCATCGACAATCAACGACAATAAAAGAGGCATCTTTCTTAAGGGTTAAAGAAAGTTGTGGAAGAAGATCTGCAACTGAAAGGAGCTATCAGATGCCTTAATCACTCTAGAGGAAGCCTGTCAGTGCTATGAAAAAAATTGTCAGAAATAAAATGAAGATTCTAAGATAATTACCTGCAAAACTGATATTGATTGCACTTTATTGAACACCTCAAAATTATTGTGTTTTGAATACAAGCATCAATATTTTTTAAACTTAATAGACTTTACAGTACTAGAGACTTTCTCAATATTCATTAAGGGAGCCTTTTTTTTAAATCTGAGGTGAAGTTACATCTGAATATTATATTCCTCTGGAGACTACTTAATATTTTTTTATCATCAATATTATTATGAATAAAAACATCAACTTTTCGCAAAAATTTGAAACAACACACAAAACGTACTTCTTTCTCAAAGGAAGTATGTTCACTGGTATTTTTGATTTCATGAGAATTACAGAAATGGGTTTATTTTTTTCAAAATTTTCAATTTGAAAAACATGCATATGAAATTAACGAGTCTTTTTGTGTCAAAAATCAGCATAAAAGAGATAGAGATAGAGCTAGCAATATTGCAAACCACTTCATTTAGTGCAAATCCGAACATAAAACAATTAAAGCTGATCCCTTCATTGAATTTCATTTTACAAAATAAAATGAATACAAGAGATGGACCTCCACATCACACGCTTGCCTTTGAGACAAAGAAAATAATATAGAAAACGTATGTAAGATTTGTAATCGTGTGTTTATTATGTTTATATAACAGTATAGGTATCGCTGTCGAGTATGAACAAAACGGTTATCACTTCAACAATAAATATCAAGTATTATACAAGGCACAACGAGTTTTTGAAAACTTCATGAAAAATAAAATTATTTAAAATTTTCCCATCTGATATATGCTAATTCAAAATAAAACAAATCAATCCTCCTGAGTGGAAAATATTCGACAAATTTGATTTAACATAATTTTTATGAATAAATTTTCAAATCACACTATAATAGGTTTTGAGAAACTGTTGGTCGATCTTATGGACACAAACAATTTGACCCCATTATCAAAATTTTTATTATAATACCTGTTGTAGCATTAGTCTTTATTATTAGAATGAAGAATTGCTTCTCAGAAGTTTTTTAACTGCGAATGAAAATTCGAGAGGCTAGAGAGAGTAGCAAGGAAAAAAATTGTCGGAAGTCGGTCGGTACGATTCATATTGTTTAGAAAATTTACGGTAATTTGGTATAGTTTTACGGTGAAAGGTGAAGGCCAGTATAGCGTGCTTTGATCCGTTATTAATTGGGTTAAGGGTGGTGTTTTCCCTAATTCCTCCTTTCCTTCCCAAAGCCATTTCCAGCACTATCAGAAATCGAGAAAACAAATTATGGACCAGTGAAGGTGAGAACTTTCTTCATATTTCTTACAGAACATTATCGGGATGTTCTAGAAAATAAAAAAAACAATACCTAAGCGGTTGTTGAACCTTAGTCCCTTAGTGTACCAGCAATGTAGGTATTTCGACAAAATAATCGCAAGTGCCATCTGGAGATGATCATGTTCATATTGCTTATTTCAATGACATGAAATATTTTTCTGTTAACCAGCTATCGCACCCCTACAATCGACAACCCTCAGAAGTTGAAACTTGTGCGAGCTAAGGACTAACGAGGTCTTACCTTTTAACGTGTGATTCTCAACACGGATTGGACGATAGCGAGTGAAAATTGATCGTTCAGCCTGCGTTTTGAACCATCGACAGACATATCGGCCAATTGACTGGCTATACAAAGCACCCACGTCGAACCGTCTGGCTACCGACCGATAATAATGAAATTTCAACTATTCTAATGTGAGATATAATCTGATGAAACCTCAAATTTTGGTAATTTATTTTGGGAAGGTTTCAATTACATTATCAATTCTATCATAGTAATCCGGTTTGTCCAGGATCACAATCTTCTTGCTCCTGTCTGCTTTCAAATGGAAAAATTTCTCATTCGATCTCTTGGCTTCATTTGGAAATTTTCATTAATTTTATTTTTCAGACTAGTAGCAATTTGTCTTTGCAGACTCCACGAATAACCCCTTCTGATTCCTCTGGCAAGCGCTGCTTATTATTAACAAAAAATGAAAAATGAAAATTAGAAGATTCCAAACCAAGTTATGTCACGACATTTCGATTGCTAGTATCCACAATCGTCTTCGGGTTGTTTGGTTTTATGTTATTTCTTTGAAATTTCAGTTTTTTTGTTCAAATAAAATTGTTATTTTCGGTTAATCTTTTTAATATTTTTCAGGAATTTCGAGTCAATTTATATTATATTAGGAAATGGAAGTCCGAACTGATGAAATGTATCTTGTTCGATCTTCGTCATGAAAGACGTATAAAAATTTTGTGACGGTCATCTGCAGAAGAACTTTATGTTTTGTTCTTGAATCAGTAATAACTTTTGAATTTTCTTGCTTCTGATAACGAATTGAAAATCTGTCGAGTTCTACTCGATGACAGATTTCATTATAACTGAAAAACTTGATTCATTAATTCATTTTGATTTCATGAAGCATGCCTACTAAATACTGAAACTCATTGAAATTGTTTAAATTAAAACTCAACTCGTTGTGATGCAACCTGTAAAAATAGCTTTCCTGATAAAATTCACAATGATTCCGTACAAACTTGATCACAAAAGTTCTGAAGTGTCACAGAGCATTACAGTTCAAACCGTTGATTATTCATAATCGACACATAATAAATAATAATAATCGACATTTCAAACTCTGGATTAGCGCTAATCTCCAGTATAAACTCTGATTTAAAATAGAAATACTATGTGGCTCTTTAGCGCTTGCGTATGTGATTATACAGTTACAAAATGAGTTTTAATTGTGGCGGAAAGAAATAATGAACCTGTGTTTTTTATCATATATTGCTTATGAAAACACTTATTAAAACACTAGCACAACTCAAAAGCGAAACTAAAATATCGCAAGTGTGTGACGGTATTTCATTTACATTATTATATTTCATCTCAATAAAATGTTGATAGTCATTACTGTATCTAGAGTACGTTAATGAAATATCAACTTTTGAATGATTTGCAGAATGGGAACAAAACCAAATGCCTACGTTACTAGCAACACCCTGAGTATGAAGAATATGAATTACAATATATCATTCGGGATTGAGAGAAGTGCCAACATGAAAGAGTTTAAACAATATTTTATTCAAATAATCAATATAATTCCAACCCTAATGCAATATTCCAATTGATAAGTAGTTATAATAAATAATGATAATCAGTAAATGTAATATTTGGGTCGGTGGAGGGTCGAATAGACCCACTCACTTTGGACCTAACCTAACCTAACTGTAATATTTGCCACAATCTCAAAAAAATATGTAAGTTAAAGTGACACGAACCACAGTTTTCAAGTTACAGAACTTGAGAGATCAATTGAACAAAAATTTAATCCCTAATAATTTTTAATTTATTGGTTTTATGTACTAAGCTGTGAAATATTTGTACGTGATGCAATTGTAAAAACTGAAACCTAATAATCAAATCAGAACCACTTTCAATAATATAAAACTCATGAAATTGGAAAGAAATTAAATAGTGTTCTGGGTCCAACAAAAACAGTTTCTGAAAAGTAAATTTTCAATGCAAATCGTCAGAAAAGGACTATTCGATTCAAAAATATTCAATTCGAGTATTTACTCAAATATTTCATTGATACCCCAAAGTCATCAGATTGTAAAATAATTTCAAATACCCTATTGAAAATTAGTTCAACTATTTATTTCAATAAATCCATTCATAGTTAATATGTGTTAGCGTTATACTCTCACAATTATTGAAAAAATATTCAAAAAGTGAATAGAAAGTTAAGAATTAATAAGATTACTCGAAAATAACAATTTTATTAAACAAAAACTGAAATTACAAAGAAATAACATACAAGCAACAACCAAACAAAGAAAAAAATTAAAATTGAAATATTAATAAAAGCTGAAAAATGAAAATTGAAAAATATTATCAAGAAATGAAAATTAAAAATTATTAACAAGAAATGAAAATTAAAAATTGAAAGATTCCAA